GGGGGAGAAAATTTAAAACTCAAAATCTTATGGAAGTGAATGTTGAAAACTAAAAATAAGTAAATTAATTTAAAAAAATCCTAAAATGTTGTGGCAGTTTTCCTTTATAATTTCTTGAAATATGATGCTTATACTTTTTTATGATCATGGCTTTCAGGTAGTCCAATAATGCTTGATTTATCTCTTCTCAGTCTATTTTCCAGGTCAGTTGTTTTTCCAGTGAGATATTTCATATTTTCTTCTATTTTTTCATTCTTTTGACTTTGATTGTTTCTTGATGTCTTGTGGAGTCATTAGCTTCCACTTGCCCAATTCTAATTTTTAAGGAATGATTTTCTTCAGAGAGCTTTTGTGCCTCTTTTTCCATTTGGCCACTTCTGCTTATTAAGGAATTATTTTCATCATTGAAGTTTTGCACCTCTTTTACTCTTTGGCCCATTCTATTTTTTAAGGTATTATTTTCTTCAGTATTTTTTGTTCCTCTTTTACCAAGCTATTAATTCTCTTTCCCAAATTTTCTTCCACCACTCTCATTTCTTTTCCCAATTTTTCTTCTACCATTCTTATCTCTTTCTTTAGCTCTTCCAAGAATTCTTATTGAGCTTCTATTCAATTAGCATTTTTCTTTAAGGCTTTGCTTGTGGATATTTTCACACTGCTATCACCTTCTGAGTTTGTGTCTTGATTTTCCCTGTCACCACAGTAGTTTATGATCAGGTTCTTTTTTTGTTGTAGTTTACTCATTTTTCCAGCTTATTTCTTGACTTTGAACTTTATGTTAAATTTGGGCTCTGCTCACCTTGGGGCGGGGACAATGTCCCAAGCTTTAGGCTTTTGCATGCTATTGTTTTCACAGGTTGGTCTGAGAATCTGTCAGTTTTGAGTGCTTTCAAAGTGTGGTGATCTGAGAAGAAATATAGTCACTGCTTTCCTGGTTTGCACTCTGCTCTTTATCCAAGAAAGGACTTTACTCCCTTGAGGCCACAAGTGTTTCTCTTTGCCCTGGAACTATGACTTGGAACTGTGTCTGGGCAATGGAGTTGCCAAACAGTGTTCTGTCCCATACCTAGTGCCAACACAATCTTTTTCTAACAGGTTGCCCAATCCCTTTGCCATTGCTGAGATGAAATCTCCCAAAGTTGCTGCTGCTGTTGCCACTTACAAATTCCATAGCTGATGTTGCAGGGGCATGTGATCCAGGCTGGTCTTGGTTGTAATTCTAGCTCCTTTGCCTTCTGTAATATTATATTCCAAGGCTACCATTTCTTTAATCCTTTAAAGTAGTGACTCCTAATCTTATGTGATCTTGATTGTGTCACTATGGTACACGAATTGTTCTTTTCTGTTTGCTTACAGTGTTTTTCATCTGTGACTTTTGGATTTTGGCTACAATATTCCAAGGAGTTTTGATTCTGGGGTCTCTTACAGAAGGTGAGTGGTAAATTCTTCCAATTTCTACTTTGCTTTCTAGTTCTAAGATATCTGCAGTTTTCCTTTGTAATTTCTTAAAATATGTTGCTATCTTTTTTTTTTTATTCATGGCTTTCGAGTAGCTCAATGCTGCTTAAATTATCTCTCCTTGATTAATTTTCCAGGTCAGTTGTTTTTCCTACCAAGTATTTTTGCATTTTCTTCTCTCCTTTTTTGTTAGTCTTTTGATTTTGTTTTATTATTTCTTGAAGTCTCATGGAGTCATTAGCCTTCATTGGGCCAATTTTAATTTCTAAGGAACATTTTCCTCAGTAATGTTGTTAATTCTCTTTTCATAACTTTCTTGTATAGCTCTCATTTCTTTCCACTCTTTTCTTCTACAGTTCTCATCTGGTTTTTAAATTAACTTTTAATCTTTCTTTAGCTCTTCAAAGAATTCATGTTGGGCATATTTCCAAATTGCATATTTTTTGAGAGTTTGCTCATAGATGTTTTCAAGACATTGTCTTTTTTATCTGTGTCTGGATCTTCCTTATCACCATAGTAGCTCTTTATGGTAGGGATCTTTTTTTGTTTGCTCATTCTTCCAGCCTACTTCTTGATTTTTGACTTTATATCAATGTTGGGCTCTGCTCACTTCTGAGGGGAAGGGGAGGTGGGCTTAGCTGGTCAGAGCTTCTGACTTTTATGTCATTCTGTTGTTTTCAGAGTTTAGTCTTGAGGCCTGCAAGTTTTCAGTGTTTCCCAAATGGTGTGATTACAGGAAAAGTCTATTAATTGCCTTCCTGGTGTAAGTTATATAAGTTCCCGACCCAGGTTTGCCTGTTTGACAGTGTGTGGTTAAGTTTCAGTAGACTACTGGTGGACCACCCAGTCATTGTCAGCCCTCTAGGAAGTTCTGCAGGTTCAGAGCAACTGTACTACTGGCTCCCCTTTGGTCTTAGTCTACTGGCCTAATTATTCCACTACAAGTTTATGTGCAGGGCTAAAAGTTAGAACTAAGTCCCATTCTGTTCCTGAACATGGAGAAACATTGCTAAGGTTTTGAAACTTGTTCCTTGTTTTATACACAGTTCAGGCTTTTCTCCCTTGCAACTGTTTCTTTCTACCCTGAAATTATGACCCAGAACTGGGTAATGGGCAAAAGATCTGCCAGTTGGCACCCATTCCTACTCCCAGCCCTGATTTAGGTATCCCCTAGGTTTTTCTTCTGTTCCAGTGTTTCCTGCCCTGGTGTTGAGCTAGCTAGCTTTCTTTCTTTCTTTTTTGGCTAGGCAATAGGGTTAAGTGACTTGCCTAAGGTCACATACCTAGTAAGTGTCAAGTGTCTGAGGTCAGATTTGAACTCACCTCCTCCTGACTCCAGGGCTGGTGCTCTATCCACTGAGCCCCGTTTAGCTTAGCTTTCTTACCATCCAGGGCACCATTCTCACCACTGCCACTCCTGCCATAGCTATGCTAGGCTCATGGTCAGCCCCGACCCCAGGGTCCACAAATCTCTTTGTCTCTCTTCCTAAGTTATCCTGGACTGGAAAAATTACTCATGGTGCCTTCTTCTTGGTTTTCCCAATCAAAATTCTGTCTGTTGCACTTTCTAAATTGTTTTGGGGGAGATATGCTGGGTGAGCTGTACAAAAATGCTGGCTCTTATTTTGACATCTTGACTCCTACCAAAGGGGAAACATTTTTTAATCCAATTTTGTATTTATTTTCACTTCCAAATTCTCTCCCTCTCTCTACCCCTCCCCCACCTACTGAGAAGGTAAGAAATACAGTACCTATTATACATATCAAGTCATGCAAAATATATTTTCACATTAGCCATGTTCCAAAAAAAGAAAAAGAAGAAAAAAATATACTTCCATATGTACCCTGAGTCCATCAGTTCTCTATTTGGAGGTAGATAGCATTTTTCATCATCAGTCCTTTGGAATAATGGCAGATCAATATCTTGATCACTTACTAAATTCAGAGTTGATTATCTTTACAATATTGCTATTACTGTGTACACTGTTTTCCTGGTTCTGCTCACTTCACTTTGCATCAGTTCACATAAGTCTTCTTAGATTTTTTTTTTCTGAAACTATACCTATTTATCATTTCTTATACCAAAATAGTGTTCCATCATAATAATATATCATAACCTGTTCTACCACTCCCCAATTGATGGGCATCCCCTTAGTTTCCATTTTTTTTGCTATCACAAAGAAGAGTTGCTATAAATATTTTTGCACATATAGGTTATTTTGCATTTTCTTTGATCTCTTTGGGGTAACTCTTTTGGTGCAGAGGAGTCAAAGGTATTGCATAATTTTACAGCTTTGAGGGAATAGTTCCAAATTGTTCTCCAGAATAGTTGGACTAGTTTACAGCTACACCAACAGTTCATTAGTGTACCTATTTTCCCACATTTCCTCCAGTATTTGTAATTTTCATTTTCTGTCATCTTAATCAATCTGACAGGTGTGAGGTGGTACCTCAGAGTTGTTGTAACTAGTATTTCTCAAATTATTAGTGATTTATAGAACTTTTTTGGTATATACATTGATAGCTTCGATCTCTTCCTTAGAAAATTGGCTATTACCCTTCGACAATTTATCAGTTGGGGAGTGGTTCTTACTCTTATAAATTTGGCTCAGTTACTTTATATATTTGAAAAATAATTCCTTTATCAGCAAAACTTCTATAAAATTTCCCCTAGTTTCCTGCTTTTTCCAAAGGGAAATCTGTCTAACAATGCAAGTGGATGGCCAGGGAACTGAGATTTTCAAAATATATCTACAGAAAATAGAAACAATAGCAGTGAATACCGTGACCATAGATGCATGGGACATTACTGTAAAAATGGGGAACTAAGGGGAAGCTAGGTGGCACAGTGGATAGAGCACTGGATTCAGGAGGACCTGAGTTCAAATTCAACCTCAGACACATAACACTTATTAGCTGTGTGACCCTGGGCAAGTCACTGAACCCCACTGCCTAGCCAAAAAAAAAAAATGGAGAACCGAAAGCTACTGCTCAGAATAAGCTGAAGTTGGTCAGGGAATCAAAGGACAACAAAAAGGAAGACTTTTGTTTGCTTTGTTTTTGTGTTTTAGCTACATTGGGGAAATGAAGAGGCTCTAAGAAAGGCTAGGACCATTCCTCTGGGTGGATGGGATGACAGTGACTAATAAGACACAAGGCAGAGCTGCTCAATTATTATCTTGCTTCTGTTTTCTTTGCCAAGGAAAATGACCTATGGTCATGAAAGGACTGAATAAAAATGCCTATTGATGTCCTGATACTCAACAGAAGGAAGGGAGTAGTAAGAGTGCACAGAATTGCCTTTGATGAATTCAAGTCACCTGGCCCAGAGGAACTATGTTCTTGAGTACTGACAGAGTTGGAGGATGTGATTGCTGAGTCATTGTCAGTGATCTGTGAAAGAATGTGGAAAATAGGAGGCATATTTCAGGCCTGGAGAAGGTCAAACATTCTTTTAATTTTCAAAAAAGGAAAACAAATAGAGTCGGCAAATGATAGGCTAATGAGCTTGATTTCAATTGCTAGAAAAATTCTAAAAGAAATCATATAAGAAATTATTAGTGAAGACAAAGGAAATTGTAATTTCAGAGAGAAAGAGGAGCTTCAGCAAGAATTGGCTATGCCAGAATAACATTATTTCCCTTTCTGACAGGGTTATGGATGACAGAATCAATCTTGACAAAACTGGTAGATCAGGAGAGTGCTGCATATAGAATTTTCCTAGATTTTATTTTACCTAGATTTAAGCAAAGAACATTATAAATATCTGAGGAAAAGAAAGGCAGAATGGTTCAGTGGACACTGTGCTCGTCTTGGAGTCAGAAATTAGGTTCAAGTCCCATATTGCCTGTGTGACCCTGGTCAGTCACTTAACCTCTCAGGATTCCTAGGAAACTCTCTAAAACTACGAGTTACACAACAGTTTCTAATGAAATCACATTTCCAGATCAAAACCAAAAATCAAAAAATGAAAACCTTTTATTATTCTTATAGAAGAGAGGGATATATCTATATCTATATATCTACATCTATCTACACATACACACACAAACACACACACACAAGTGAATAATTCAATTAGATGGCTGTAGAACTGGTTGATTGGCCAGACTCAAAGAGCAGGTAATGGTTAAATGTCAACTTGACAGGAGGTCTCTACTACTAAAGCCTTAGTCCTGTATTGTTTAACATGTTTATCAATGACTTGGATAAAAGCATTTTTATCAAATTTGCAGATTACACAGAACTAATAAGGATAGCTAATATACAAGATGACAGGATCATAATCCAAAAATGATTCTGACAAACTAGAGTACAGAGATGAATCTAATGAGATTAAGTTCAATAAAAAAATAAAGGATTACAGTTTCTCAAAATTGACTTCGTAAGAACAAGATGAGGAGGAATTGTTAAGTTTTTATTTGTTTTTGTCTTTTAAATAAAATAGGGCCTTTTGCAGATGACAAATTCAATATGAGTCACCAACCTCCTTGGGCCTCAGTTTTATCCTCTGTAAAATGAAAAAGTTGGACTAGATGGCTTCTGAGGCCCCTTCCAACTCTAAATCCTATAATCCTAGATGACATTCATCCCGTCATTTACAATGAGTACATATATGGTATGTTTATAGTTCTTTGCATACTGTTTTCTCCATTAAAATGTAAGAACCTTGAGGGTAGGAACCATGTTTTTGTCTTTCTTTCTATCTCAGTGCTTATTTAGAGGACAGAAACAAGAATGGTGAAGGGTCTTAAGTCTGTGTCATATGAAAAGACAGAGAGATGTGGACTAGAATTCAGGGCTTCTTAAACTCTCGACCCCTTTACACTTCTTAAAACTCCCATTGGGTCATGACCCACAGTTTAAGAAGTGCAAGACTAGATGACAATACAATCAAATGGATTCGGAACTGGTTCAATGGATGGACTTGAAGGGTAGGTGTTAATAGTTTAATGTCAATGTGGCAGCATCTCTTCTTGAATTTGTGTCTTTTAAAATTTTTATCAGTGACTTGGATAAAGGCATAGAGGGCATGCTCATCACTTACGCAATTCAGACAATGTTGGAAGAACAGTTAATCCACTGGATGACAGAGTCAGTATCCAAAACAATCATGAGAGGCTAGAGCACTAGACTGAATCTGATACAGTGAAATTCCTTCCTAGGAAATTTATGTTTTCAAATTTATAAAATTATGGCTTACTTATCCAATACTGAGTACAATTATTTTTGATTCTTTCTTGTCTACTATGCATCACTGATTTATTTTCTATTTCTCAACCAGTATCAAATGGCTCTGATGATTACTACTTTGTAAAATAAGTCTGACATCTGGAAGTGCTAATCCCTCTCCATTCTTACCATTTTCATTATTTACATTGATATTCTAAATGAATATACGAATGATTTTGCTATTATTTAATTCTATGAAGTTTTGGTAGTTTGATTAGTATAGCAGTAAATCCATAAATTAGCTTTGGTAGCATTGTTATTTTTATTACATTAGCATGCCTTGGCTTTGTAAGTTGTTCTTTGTTTTGATAATATGAAATTTGATAGTATTAAACATAAAGTCTTACACGTGGGTACAAAAACACAACAGCACAAGTACAAGATTGGGCAGGTATAGTTAGACCATAGTTCTAAAAACTTCTATGACTTTTCATAGATTGTAAACTCTATAGAGTTTATCAATGTGATGTGAGAGATAAAAAAGGTAAAGCGAGCTTGGGTTGCACTAAGAGAAGTACCAATTCCAGAAGTACCAATTACCTGGGAAGGTAATAGTCCCAGGAGACTCTGACATGGTCTGGCCACATCCAGAATACTGTGTGCAGCTCTGGATGCCACAGTTTAAAAGGAAATTGCCAAGCTAGAGAATGTCTGAAGGAGAGCAACCAGGATGGTGAAGGGCCTTAAATTCATGGCATGTGAGAATTAGTTATTTATCCTGCAGAATAAAAGCGTCCAAGGGGACACGAGATACTTGATTTCAATGATGCTGAAGTGCTGTCACTTAGAAGAAGGGTTAAATTTGTTCTATTTGGTCTCAGATGGCACAAGCAGGAGTAATAGGTGGAAGCTGCCTAGAGACAAAAAATTAGCTGCATGTCAGGAAAGACTAGTTAAGAATGAAAGCTGACATTAAGTGGAATGGACAGCTTTGGGAGGTCATCAAAGAAAAACTGAACAACCACTTGAAGGGTTTTTTTGTAGAAGAGACTCCTTCTGAGATATGGCTTACATAATGGCTACTGAGGTTCCTTCCAACTCTGCAACTAGATGATTCTGTAGTTCTTACAACTAACCCTAAACTTTAAAACTAAAACCTGAGCAGGAAGGTAGAATCATGAATGGAGCACCGGGACTGGACTCAGGAAGACCTGAACTCACATCTAGCTTCACACACTTACTAGCTGTGTGATCCTGGAAAAGTCACTTAACTTCTGTCTGCCTCAATTTCCTTAAACTGTAAAATGAGAGCAATAATAACAACTACCTTACAAGGATGCTGTAAGGATCAAAGGAGATAATATGTGTAAAGTTGCTTAGCATAGTGCCTGGCACATACATACACAGCATGTGCCTCATACATTTTTATTCCCTTCATCTTTCCCTAAACCACACTACCCTATGTCTCGTTACTGCTAAAATCAATGTTTAAGTGTTTTCATTTAATTTTTTCTATTCTTTGTCTGGTCCTGTTCCATGTAAAGTGGATTGAAGGGGGTAGAGGCCCAAAAGCACCAAGAAAGAGAGAACAATTCTGGGTGTGTGTACTGGAGGAGCACAGCATAAAGGGTTTTTAGCAGAAGAGAATGGTCCAAACTGAGATCCAAGAAAAAAAAAAAAACTAAACTAAACTAAACTAAAAATGTGGTTGAAGTCAAAGCCAGATATCCCCCAAAGCAAGCAAATCGAGGGCTAGGCACAGGAGACTGTGGACTGAATTCAAGAGCAAAATTCCAAGCTTTGGAAGAGGTCCACATGGAGCAAGGTTGGCATAATTCCAATGGTAGTGAAGTGGGGTACAGGAAAGGAGAAGCATATTTTCATTCAAGGACTAGAACATGGATGGCATCCACTTTCTATGGCACTAGCCATACTCTTGACTCAGCCGTGGGCCAGGACATATGCATCTGTACTGTATCACAACGATGGAAAGTTTGTGAAAACACGTGAGACTTTCCACAGCTATAGCAAATGAACATTCTTGAAGTTACAAATTGAGTATTCTCATTCATACCAATGAAACAAAATGGCATGGTTCTGTTTTGCCCTTAAGCTAGGAGGACTGGTGCCATTAGAGTTTACCTCCTGCAGATGACCAAAATTTTATGCAAAAGAAAATACTGTTGCAAAATTCTCTCCTAGTAGGTAAACACACGATCATAAAGATAATGAGGCTGAAGCTCCATGTACTAGAAAACAAATATTTTTGATCTAGCTAAATGAACTGGTTTTGTAATTACAGTGCAACAGCACTCCAACATTCTTATTACCTGTATTTAAATATATGAAATGTCAAATCATGAACAAAATGAACAACCTACAAAAGGCATATCTAAAGCAGCAAAATCCTAACCTAGCACAGTCTCTAAGTCAGATATAACCCTACCACAGGAGGTGGCATTGACAGGGACCTTAGAGATCATTGCAACATCCCCACCCCAACTCATTTTATAGAAAACAAAACATGAGGACAAAGACAGGAAGTCATTTTGCCAAAGTCACACAGGTAGGGAGTGGCAGAGTCAGCACCTGAACCTCATTCCTCCAGTCTTGTACTCTTTCTGCTCTGTCATGTTGACTTGACCCTTGCCTCAGTGACAGCCTTAGTAAGTCTAATAGTCACATATGTGGAACGATTTCACCAGGGTCCCAAGAAGTACCTTCTCTCCATTTCTGTAAGGTTGAAAGCACCACAGAAAGGACTCCATTGTGTTAAACATGTCATGTAGAAGGGTTTTCGAGAAGGAAATAAAGAAGAATCACACTGGATAGAAAGACAATGATGGACTGCCATCTGCATCAGTGGAGGGAGAACTGATGAGAATTATAATGAATTGAGGCCTAGAACTGTATGCAAGCATTGCACAAGGCTGAAATATTATGAGCAGGTAAAGGTTCATAACAGAAACACCTAGTTGCCTGCGTTGGAAGCTGCCCTCACTTCTGCCACCGCACAGACCCAGGGGCTGTTTTCTGTTTGCCAAATTAGACAAAGACAAAGGCAATGGGGGAGGGGGAAGATTCAATCAGAGGGCAAAGCAAGAACTTCTTCCCAGTCTATGAATGAGTCTGAGATTACAAATTGAACAGTTTTCAGTGAAAGGCTGGCCAATCACAAGTTTATGGGAGAAACATTTATAAGACATAGAGGGGAATCTATGGAAATATAGGAGAAGGAAGAAAGAAAACCTCTTTTTTATTACCATAAGGAAAGAAAATTGTTATGTGCTTGTAGAACTCAAATTTTAAGCATTATTGTGTAGATGAGACAACCAATTTTAAATTGTTTTTTTAAATGTTTTAAAATGTTTTTTAAATGGTGTCTTTTTTCAAAATTGGACATCTAAGTCTGTTTGTGGAAAATAACTAGAAGACAAGTGCCAGCAGAGGAAAGTTCACTCTCCATCTTGGAGCCATGGTGGTGGGCAGATTCTAGGAGTGTGCCTGATCTCTGGGTACCCAGATCCCTGCTACTTCCTTCTGAGACTGAGGAGCTACTGCTGGACAGAATGAATAAGACTGGTAAGAGCTGCCAGCTGGTGAGACAGTGCAAGTATCCTTCCTGGCCAGCTTCCTTTCCCCTTACCTCCAAGCAAAGAAGGCAGCAGTTTCCATAAACTTACCAACAAATTTAGATTTTTGTTTCTTCATCCTTGTGAAAGGAAGGAGTAAAGGGGAGGAGAACTTGATTCAGCTTGGGTGAAATTCAGCTTCTAGTCATCCAAAGGAATCATTCTTCCACACTGATGACTGTCTTTTCATTGCCATAATTTTGTTCCCCTCCTCCTTTATATAAAAGGACAAGCTAGTGCCCGTGAATTTATTGTATGTGTGATTAATGCTAGTGGGGCTAGAGATTTGGCTAAAGGGATGGCTTCAGAGAGCCTAAGGAATGTGAAGAGGACATGAAGAGGACAGTGATTCCATGCAATGAGTCACTCAATAATCTTCTTGAAACATTTCCTATATGTAAGATAGTAAAGGCACATTGAAATTGGACCCCTAAGACAGTACGAGTTTCTATAAACAGGAGAGTCTATAACCAGAGAGAAATTATTAACAGAAACTGATATGCCCCTAGTCCTAGTAGAGCTTAAGAAAAGCCAAGTCTAGGAAAAAAGGATGTGTTACCAGTGGGACCTACACCTCATTGAAAGTACTATCCCTTAAAGAGAAGCACCTCTACCTCTATATGGGGAAACCACTTCTGTGTACAAACCTTATACGTGGGGACCTCACCCTGTCTACTTGTATGTACTGATTCACAGTGTTTTGTTTTGTTTTTTGATAATAGTTTTTGAAAAAAATGCTAAAGAAGCATACTAATATACTTCACTTTATGCAATGGCTTTGTTTCTGAAAAGTTAGATAAATAAATATCCATATTATCCATAGATACACAGTATACATACATATATACTGTATATCTATATATACATATTCACTGACTCTTTGCAACTTGAATTACCTTTCTTTTAATTTTAAAATTTTAATTGGTATCTTATTTTTGCATTGCTTTCATTTCTGAATGCATCTTCCCCTTTCCCTAATTAGTGAGCTATCCTTTGTAAGAATGAAAAAAAATAAGGGAAAAATCAGTTCATCAAAACCGAACAATTCAAGTGAGCTTGACAGTATGTTTGCATGTGTAAATTACATAGCCATCTGTAAATTACATAGGCCCCTACCTCTACAAAGAAGGGAGAGGAGTATATTTTTTCACCTTATCTCTTCTTCGGGGCTCCATTAGGTCCTTATAATCACACAGCAAACTTGAAATGGTGGTGGTGGTGGTGGTGGTGGTGGTGGTGGTGGTGGTGGTGGTG